TTTCTTGCTGGGTATAACACTATCCTATCTTGCTCAATAGACCGATCCATTAAGCCCAGCCCCGTTGTCTTATGACAAATCACTGCCATAACTTCTGTCCAACGTGCATGTACAAACGTCCGACATGCGTGCGTGCGTGCGCATACGATGTGCGTGGCTGGAGCATGTTGTGTGGCGTTGGAGAAGAGCATGTGCCAACTAGCCCTGTGCTCAGTGGGCGGGGCTTACTGGATTAGTCTATTCATGCAGATAACTTGCTCTGTTTATTACACGGGATGACATATAAAACACCAATTGGGAGTTTCTGTACCCTTTCTACCCAGAAAGGCGTATAAACACGTCATGTTGGTTCTACATGCAAAAGCACTTGCCTCGGGAGGTTGAGCACGCATGGCGCCCTCAAGGATCCCTGTACCAAGGCTAGGTGTTGTAGGAACTATCACTCTATAACATTCTCTTGGACGATGTGGTACAAAATATCACAGAAATCCAAATGACCACCAAGGGTCAACATCTGCAAATTCCAACTCTGCACATGTACATGTACAGGACTGCATTTTTGTACCTTGTCAAATATGAAAGGTCGGTATTTTTGTGCAAAAATGATACCATGCATGGAATAATGCCATCAGCTGTGTTGAAGTACATTACTTCAAGCAGAATGCTTCAAATGGCAATTTCGAGACAGCAAGATACTGTTTTGGACTTTGACTCAGTAGCTACATATACAAGTTATTCAAACTATGGAAAGCCAGAACTTTTTTGAAAGCTTCACTAAGGTTGCATACATGCAGGTACAGGTAGGTCACATTTGAGTTGAACTTTCTGAAGGGTAAGGCATGCTAAGCAAGTATGCTTTCTTTCCTTATGCCTAAACATCAGTATACATACATGTACATGTAGTCCTCACGCCACTAGTCTACAGTCTGCGTACATGTACATTAACCCTCACACTCCTCAATCCTTCACCTGTTGGAGGACTGAGGAGTGTTAGGGTTAACCACTTGCTGCCGGGTGTTTTGAAAAATGCAGTGCACATAATCAGGACTTTTTCAAGATTTTTAGTTTTCAAAATTCTTCAAAAATTCATCATTTCAATTAATGGACATTTACACCCACACGAATTACTGTCTGGTGGCCACTCTAGTCTGACAGACAAAATCTATTGACGCCCGAGTATTTCAGCCAGGCCTGCAGCCTTGTAAAAAGAGCCAAGATTGTGCAATGTTATGTAACTTTCTTTTGTTCACGAACCTGGCACAGTGCGCTGCTGACCTCTTTTTAATAGGGGCCAGATTAGGGTGCAGCGGTGCTGTGTGGCTCATCGCTGCGGTGGTGGAGCGCTTTTGTTCCCGGTGGTAATCCGCTCACACTAAATGCCCAAACAGTGGTATACTGTTTCAAAACAAGGCTGAATTTTCTCCACTATTGAGAGTGAAAAATGCCGGTAATGCCCAGCAGCCTGGTCTTTTGTTCGGAGTACGGTCTTTTGTTACAGGGCCCTGTTTCCTTTGTCCGAGTTCGGAGAACCAGGCCACGCGTATAAACACACAGTGCCCGCAACCGGTTTCCCGGCAGGAAGTGGTTAAAAAAAACAAGCAGCCGTCTGTTTACCTGCAGAACGGTGGTGCCCGGGTCTACCCAGACACTCTTGTCGTCCACAAACACCTCCACCTTCTCAGGGGCAGCGGTAGAGTTCAGCCGGTTACCGGTCAGGCTGGGCGCCAGCTGCCTGGAGACCAGCAATGCACGCGACAGCGGTGCCCTTAACATGGCGACTACTGAAGACTGTGCAACTCTACCAGCAAGGAGAAACGGACAATGCAAATAAATGCCTGTTTTTAGAAAGCATTAAAAACAAAACCAGAATTAAACAATTGCCTTAATTAATATTGAAAGCACTACCCCCATTTCTTGTCATTTATCAGGCCTACAAAATGTTGTGCAAAAATACCTCTTTTTATCTAGCTAAACTTGATCAAATTCTCCTTTTGAAGTTGAATGGATCCCCTGCTTCTGTGCTTTATGAAATACAGGGATGAAAAAACCCGAATACCTCAGCCCAACCATTTGGAGGAACTCAACTGTAGGTCTGTGTTTATTACTCACATCACGATCGGGAATGTAGCAAACAAATGACTGTGTTGAAGGTTGAGACAGCCAGACAACAAAATTTCACAGACAGAAAGAGCTAGGAATAGCACAACAAGATTAATCACTAATAGGCCTTGTCACTAATACTGCATGGGTGATTTTGCATAATGGTAGAAAGGCATTGTGGGAAGCAAAAAGGAGCTAACATTGCTCTTTTTCCTTCCCACAATGCATTTCTACCATTGTGCAAAATCACTCATATGGTACCAATAACATGAGTAAGGCTTTTTAATGACCAGATCGGGTCAGTGAAGCTGTATAAGGAAATTGGGGCTCATCTAGCCCAGGTTGGACATCGTCTACACTGCACTGGGACCAACATCCAGGGTATAAAATCCTCCTGCGATAACTACATTTTTTTCAGTGTTTTTTTTCTCACATTTTTACCTGGCGGAGGCAGCTCAAATGTTGTTCGCAAGTGCCTTGTATCCCGAATTCCGAAAGGCTTTGTTGAAATTATTAAATACGCCCACGGACGACATATTTTGCAGGAAATTTAGTGCAACTCCACGCTTTCTGCTGTGATTTGTGAACGATCTACAGTGCATATGTCTAATAGCAATGCATTTGCGCATACGCAAAATGGCCTTCACTGCAATGAGGCTCAGCCCACTTTCTGTAAGTTATGTTGTCTTGAGCTAGGTATAGGTCTTCGCTACATTGGAAATTCAAGGAGACACGCGGACAACAGGCCTAGCCATAGCTCTGGAAGTCCTAATCTGCCTAATCTGCCCACAGCTCTTCAGCGCATGCGTAAAGGGGCATTTTGCACATGTGCAAATGTGTACTACTAGTATTACTAGGTACTAGACGAACGTAGGTCGTTCCTGATGGAAATATGCCATCCGCGGGCGTATTTAGTAATTTCAACACACTATTTATGGAATTTGTACGAGGCACTTGTGAATGGCGTTTGAGATGCCTCTGCCAGATAAAGTGAGAAAAACCGTTGACAAAAATTTTGCTATGGCAGGAGGACTTTATACCCTGGAAGTCAGTCATAGTGTAAATGAAGACAGCACCCAACCTGGTCTAGCCTAGGGCTCATTATGCGGCATAGGCCTAGTACTTTTGTTAAGTCTTGGCCTAGGCTATCTCTTATCATGCTTATCAGGAAGCTTTTTCACGAAGTCCCATTTTTGTAGGAGTTGGGCATTGGGCCAAGCCTGGAGCTATAAAAAGAAGGTGGGCCAAGGATACAACTAGCCCTAGACTTGCCCTCCCTACATGTAGTCTTCTAATGGTTGCAAGTTCTTGCAGTTTCGATTTCTTGTTTCATGTAGGCCTACATGCAGACATATGATATATGATGTAGCCGGCCTACCTACCGCCTAGAACTGGAAAAGTCACAAGACGTGCCGAATGGAAAAGCCTACAACAGCTAGAAGTACGCCTCTATCTCTGACAATAATTCGCATTCTACTGGTAGTAATTGTGCATTCCTTCAAATATATTCTCGCTAGCATTAACAAATAACTCTCCTAAAATATCGTAAATAATGTTAGGAAAAGGGCCAACTTACACTCGAATTCGCCCGATCAAGTTTACACAACTGGAATCATTTCGCTGGTATACGGTACGGTGCAAATAGAGAACCCGGTAATCCACGATCAGAAACGGTTACCAATCGGTTGGAGGTGCTATCAAAATGAGGGCGCTATACCGGCCTTGCAAGCTCAACCTTTTTCCATTCAGACCAGCAACCATACCGGGCGTGACGGGGAATCGGCCTGAACTTCTCAATTTATAGCCAAAATGGGATTCGGTGATTTGAAAAAAGAAGCGGGCCTCAGGGCCTTGCATGACTACCTTGCCGATCGCAGTTATATCGAAGGGTAATATGAAGTCGTAATAGTATTTTTGTTTAAATTTTGTCATAGGGGGCCTATTTGTGCAACGTCAGATCATTATAGCGCAGGAACACACAAGTTTGCAACCGCGTTGTAGCCCATGGAGCCGGTGCCACGTGGGTAATGCAAATTGCATTGTAGCCCTCCGGCTCGAAGGGCTACAACGCGGCTATGGCTTACATTGTAGGTCAGCTGCTGCTCGTTTGTGCGGATCGTGTGGCCTTCACACATTTACATTTAATTTAGACCCGTAAACAGGGCCCAACGAATACTCCTCTGTTGTAGACTGGGCCCTGTCTCGATTAATAGGGATTTCTTTCGAAAAGTTTATCTGGGATATCCAGGGGCATAACTTAACATCTGCTTAATTTTATGAGCTGAAATTGCACCGGTATGTTCACTAATCACGCTGTAAAAATCTGATAGGTTGCTAATTGTAGAAAACTCTCCTTTTCCTCTTTTGGAGTCGAGGAAAAAATGGTTCCTTTTTTGGCATTTTCACAGTCCTTATGAATTTTCGCCTGACTTGTACATTACACAGACTCCTTTGTATGGTTAAGTAACGGTACCCTTACGAGAGCCTGTCTAGTTTGCACCCACACTTCAGCACCTGCGAATCTCGTTCAGATCTGTGAGAGTACCTGTCAATCTAATTACTCGTAGAAAATTACAGCTGTTTTGTGTCGCAGCTAATACGTAACACCCTTAGCTGGTTCCCTGTCCAGTCACACACTGTTTGCAGCAAATCATTGGTAGCACGGCTCGCTCTCTGTAACATGACGCGAAAGTGGCGAAACAGCCATCAGTTTTGTACAAGTGGGGCAAACTTCGTCCGAAGAGGGAAAACGGCGAGAAAAGGAAACATTTTTTCCTCCAAACAAGGAAAAGGCAAGTTTTCTTCAATTAGCAACCTAGCAGATTTTTTTACTGCATGAGTAGTGAACATACTGGTGCAATTTCAGCTCATAAAATTAAGCGGATGTTTAGTTATGCCCCCGGATGTCGCGGATAAAGTTTGGGAAAGAAATCCCTATTAATCAGAACAGGGCCCAGTATACAACTGAGGAGTATTCGTTGGGCCCTGTTTATGGGTCTACATTTAACTGAGCTTTTAAGCATCGAGGCTGCAGATCAACTGGTTAAAACCCATTATGGCAATTAGTGAGCGTTGTTAGCTAGCCTGACCAACCCTAGCCCCACAAATAGGGCTGTAGTGGCTCGCTTTTACAATCTGTCTCTTTTCTGTCACCACCACAGCCCTACTTCAAGGCATGTCTTGAATGCCTGAAATGCAAACTGCAGGATCGTCACAAACTTTGAATCCTAATATCTTCCGAAATGAGAACGACTCAACAATTTTACCTACACTTTTATATAAGCACCCTAAAGCTTGTTCGTCTGACACACAAGGTGTGACAGGGAACCAGTTTTGTATGGTACAACGTATACCAGAGTGCCTGTCAGGTGCCTTGAAATCCGATGCAGAAACACTGCTTTCGTTTTTTAAAATGGCACTGCCCATGGTCAGCGTAGGAATATCACAGGGCCCGGCTTTCAAGGCGCCATACATCGAAAAATATATGGTTTAGGAAAGCTTTAGGGTGCTCATATAAAAGTCCAAACTCCGAGGAATATTCATTCTCATTTCGGAAGATATTAGGATTTGTGACAGTACTGCAGTTTGGATTTCAGGCAATCAAGACATGCCTTGAAGTAAGGCTGTGGTGGCAACAGATAAGAGACAGATTGAAAAAGAGAGCCACTACAGCCCTATTTGTGGGGCTAGACCAACCCCATCCTTAATGGCAATGTCCATCACACAAGGAATTGTGAATTTCCTGTGATCTGTGGGCGGTGGGCCTCGTTGTTCCGTCGTCCATGATCATAATTCTTGGAGTGTAGGCCTAAGTACATGTAACATTCAGTGTAGGAAATACAGGTATCCCCTCATTATCTGTGACATCACTGTTTTACTCTTGAAGATGGATACTGTTGTTGATAACCAAAAAATTTGCCAAACATGACATTCCGACTCACAACCAGAATTTCCACCATTGTGTAAAAATCGCAGCATTACATCACACATGTACTTGTAACACAAGAGGCATTCTTTGGGATATAACAATTTTGCAGCTACATATGTTGAAATACAAAACAACGCCTTATTATAGTGTGTTGATGACTGTTTGTGTCTTGGCATTTTTGATTTATGTAGTGGCTGGAATAGGCCTCTGCACTGATGACGTCACACTTTGTTTACATGTGTGCACTTAAAGTGTGGTATCATCAGCGTAGAGGTCTATTGCTCTGAATTTATAGATTTATGTTATTTGTGCATTGTCTTGCCTGTTGTACAGGTATACCGTATCACAGGCAGATGTAGTAGTCTTTGAAGCCCTTTCGGGGGCCCCTGGAACAGATCTGTACAACGCATTGCGCTGGTACAACCAAGTCAAGTCCTACAAAAGCCAGTTCAGTAGGTGAGTGGCTCCATTGCCTGATCAGATTGCTTGGTATGTTGTCGCACTCTGTACACAGATGTGTAGCTGGTGAATGGAATGGATGTTGTAACACCTTACCCACAGATTCTGCAGCTTGATTGGTTGAGAGCTAGTCACATGGCATTTGCCAGTTTTGCTGTGTTGGTGTGCAAGGCCAGAAGTGCCATGCCTGTATCAAAGAGACTACATGTGTATCTACAACCAATATTGTGTGCAAATGTGAAATGCAAATTGGGTTAGTTCCAAATATTTCAAAGTTCTAGCTCTATGGATGTTGCTTCAGGCATTTTGTGAAGAGGTAGTTGGGAAAGTCTTTGCAAATCTTTGATAAAGTTCTAATTCAAATAAATGCAATTTTAATTGTATTTTGATCATATTGGTTGCGTTTGAGCGAGCTACTCATATTAACACTAGTATGCTCCTGAGCACTCGAATGGCTGGGGTACGACCCGAGGGTCAGGGAGAGTATACTCCTGCACCTGAGTGTAATGCACATGCATCCTACCACAGGCATGAGACTTTTCCTTAGATCAGCTGATTTCCTCGGTTTTCACTTCACACTCATGCCACTGAAAATTGAAAACTCTTTGCAAAGTCTGGTAAAGATGGGAATTTCCTCGTTTTTTGTCAAAGTCCAAGTTGCATGCCTGCTGCTCGTGTTTTAATTAACAGGAGTAACCGCGAGAATGCACCCTATTATTACCGATAGTTATTGCTTAAATCAAGCAGAATTTGTGGGAGAAGTGTTTTCGAAATCTTCACAAATCCTCAACTGTGTAGGGAGCCAGTGTCTCTTTCCTTTGCACCTCAACTCTACGGAATATCAAGCATACAATAAAAAACCAATCTTGCATTCTGTGCATGCCGCATTCTTTTTTCTCTTTTTTAGTGTGAGGTAGAGTTATTGCCCCAAAAGCCAAGTTCCCTCACTGAGATTTATCAGCTGGGCCCCCCTCATATTCGAGCAGGAGGGCAAACTTTTAAATGGTATAAGAATTTCATGTTGTGCAGAAGTTATTCAGGTCCAAGGTACACAACAGTTCCACCCTTCGTCCAACGATCCTCCTTTGGACTTCACACATTTCCCGGCTGTTTATCCACAGCTTGCCTGGCATCAAGAAGAGCCTTGGTGAGTACGGCCCGGCCACAGCAGCAAAACCAGCAGCACAGAATGCTGCAGCTGATGATGACGACGACGACGATGACGTCGATCTATTTGGCTCAGATGACGATGATGATGAAGCATTGAAAGCCCTCCAGGCATCCAGGAAAGCAGCTGATGATGCAGCTCCCAAAAAAAGTAAGAGCACTTACCATGAGTTGAACAGACTTTGTCTAGTGTTTTTGTAACTGCCACGATATTTTTGCTAAGAACTTTAGTTTCTATTAAACTTTTCTTCTAAGTGCGTCAAAGTGAAAGTTGATCGGGATGAAAATGTAAAACATAAGTTCAACCGGCACTGGCTAAAATGGTTGTTTCCTTTTGGACTCTATATGTTTCATGGAGGATCAGTGTAGCTGGAAAAATACAGTGCACCATATGCAGCCTGATTATATTTAAGGCTGTGCCGAATATCGGAATACCCAGATATCTGATCGATTATTGAATATTCGAATATTATTTTCTGAATATGAAAATTCGAATGCAAAATGCATGAAAAGGAAAGGAACAGTTTCTTTTGTTTTAATGAGAAAAATTGCACTATGGAGGCTTCTTTCAAGCAGATTTAAATGAAAAGCGACAGAAATCTTTCAGCGATTCAAAAAGTAAATTATTCATTATACAATTTAAAAGGAATAGAAATTTTCAACTGGGCTATTAAATCTTGCTAAATCGTGGCTGGAGATACTGCTAGATGTGAGAAGCTGTTACATTCATTGTGATGTACAATTGTGTGCGTTATTGCAACTGATTATATATATGGTTTGTTCATCAACAATATACCGGATATATGGATATCCGATCGAATTGAAGGTCGACTATTCAAACAGGGAATTATTCGAATTGACTCAACTCCAATTATATTATATCAGCGGCAAGCCAGCTGCTGGCCATGTGGGCAAACTAACATGAATGTCACATAGTTGCCAGCAAAATAGAGACCAGAGTCTTTCAACCGCACAGCTTACATGTATTTCATCAGAAAAAATGAGGCAGGAACCTTGGGTCTTTTTAGCAGTATATACATATACGTACATGCATTGGTGTTCATTATGTGCAGCAGCTTTCATTCAGATATGCTTGGGCCCACATGTAATATCCATATTTCTTTGCTTAATTTACCCACTCTTAAACATTTCTGACCCCGGACTGAGAATCCAGTGGCATCCCTGTTTATACTTAAACTTTCAAGGGCATCAGGCCCCCATGTAAAGTGGTAGCGGGCTAACTGTGTTTCTTTTCTTTCTTCTTCATTGAATTCCAGAAGCTCCACCTGTGGCCAAATCAAGCATTGTGCTCTTTGTCAAACCCTGGGATGACGAGACAGACATGAAGGAAGTAGAGACGCTAGTTCGGTCTATTGAGATGGATGGTCTTCTATGGGGAAGTTGTAAGTTTTGACACTTTCATCAAACCAATGAATAACCACATCATCTCCCCACAAACCTCCTGACTCTCTGCCAACACCTGCAGCATTTATCAACCACTTCACTTTCTCACCTCTTATCTCTACTAACCACCTCACTGCCTACCAACAGCTTCACCCGACCAACCGCTCCTTTCCGACTTAACACTTTACCTCGACCAACCACTTCATTGTTTCTTTGTTTGGTCTCTTGACTTCTGAGGCAACACGGCTGAGCAGAAACCACCAGTTGTTATCAGTGACCCATAGAGGGTGAGCTCATGATAGATCCTGAGACGAACCCGGTGGAAACTGTCAGGAACCAGAGGTTAACCAGAGATTGCATAGAAATGTGATCACCAACCTGTTCACCCCTACCAACCCCATTTATCACCCCCTGCCAACCCCCTCATTCCCTACTGACCACCTCATCCCCCCCACCAACCACTTCACACCAGCCAAACTTATCACCCTTACCAAGCACCTTGCCCAACCATCCACGCGGTAACCCCCACCAAGGTCTCTGTGAAACATACCTTATGACTGCCGTACTTCAAAGTAGCGAGACTTAATTTTTTTTTCAATTTTGCTTTGCTTGCATAGCCAAACTGGTTCCTGTTGGGTATGGAATCAACAAGCTGCAGATTGGATGCGTTGTCGAAGATGACAAGGTAGGAAGTTGCAACTTCAGTCTAGAGGTGCTTCCTCAAAAATACAGGACTACAGTGTCAAAACCTTCAGTCTGTTATTTGCTGTGGGGCGTTAACATTTCAGAGTGTACCTCTGGTTTTCTAGAGAATACAAAACGACCAACTTTAGACAAGTGGAGCACACTTTATGGTGTGTCATTGAAGTACATATTTCTAAATGTCAAGTAAACCGGTTCTCTTCAGAACTGACAAGCTCACAAAAAGAGGTACTTATACATCAGGCTGCTTTATGCTTAAAGGGCTTACTGGCTCTCCACTGGGAAAACTTCCAAGATTAGCATGAACCCACAGAGGAGACAAAGGCACTATCTGGATTGGGCACTTAAGAATCTCATGGAGTGGTAAGACTATTTTTTCATTATATCATTGCAAATAGGTCGGCACGGATGACCTCGAGGAGAAAATTACGGCATTTGAAGATCACGTCCAGTCAGTTGACATCGCAGCTTTCAACAAAATCTAGCCAGCAAGATGGCTACTGACCGTCTCAGCAGCTTTGAAATGCTGTTCTCACAATCAACAGATTCCTCATTACCACATGTGAATGCGTGAGCCATGTGTCTCATCACACTGTTGGAGGTTCATTACCTGACGCACAAGAACAAGACATTCTTGAAGCCATGATTATGTTTTTCTGTTTAAAAACCAGACACTGAAGCAACTGCTTCAAATGGACACATGCAGCTTTCAGTTGAAGCTTAACGCAATGTACACGCCGAAAACATCAAGCCTTTCCTAGTTTGAGAAAATAAGTCGTTTGAAGACTGTTTCCCAAGTCTGATTTAAAATGTGTTCTAGAGGATTACCTTTACCCTTTTTCCATTAATCCAAATTTGACGTATGTGTGTCTGACGTTTGCAATCTATTGTAATTTTTCACTACATCATGCATTCTTTTCCGTCTTTGAAACGGGACTCATCTTGATCCCTTTGAAGGTCACTCTGAGTTGTCACGGGGGTTCATAATCATGTATTTGGTAATTCTAATAAAGGAGTTCACAATTGAATATTATTGAGGTCTGGTCTTCTTTATGTCTCATTGGGTTGGTAGGGACCACTCTGCTCGCACTGGGTTTGTAGGGACCACTCTGCTCCTCACACTGGGTTTGTAGGGACCACTCTGCTCCTCACACTGGGTTTGTAGGGACCACTCTGCTCCTCACATTGGGTTTGTAGGGACCACTCTGCTCCTCACACTGGGTTTGTAGGGACCACTCTGCTCCTCACATTGGGTTTGTAGGGACCACTCTGCTCCTCACCCAGCAATTGTATTTGTGTTACAAAGTTGCAGGACTTCGTATCAGAGTCTGGTTTATGACAAGCATGATTTGACAATGATGTGAATTGGAGGGCGAAGCCAAACCAATGGCAAATGAATACATGTGGGTATGAAAAGGAAAGTTCTGTCAATAAATTACCAGATATACATTTTGTACAACATGATTACTTTCAGAAAACTTGATTTTTGAAATACATGCACTTGGGAAAGTCTTGTTTGTTCTCTTGGATGAGGCACAGCAACCACAACCCAACAGATTTCACATCATAGACCAAATAAGTCCATGCTAGGTAGTCACGTGTAACCCTTTATTTTGAATACATTTGCTTTCTAGGAAACGCTTACAAGGAAAGGAAAGTATGTATGTGTGAAAAAAGTTCTGAGTTGCATAAAGATGGGTAGAATTCCCACAACTAATCACATGACATACTTGGAATCAGTATTAAGGATGAATCTTGTTTGATATTACTAAGAATGCACGCTCAAGTCGCAAATGGCCCTTTTTATCGCAAACAGTCTAAACTTGTCAATAAGAGGTCCTTTGGACTTTGCACATTACCTTTTCATAATAGAGACCTTGTATTTTCATGATTGAAAACAAAGAACCAGCAATTGGGAGATAATTTTTTTTCATGAGAATGCATAGACCGTATAGTCACCAGGTCCCTTATTTTGCCACTCACTGTGAAAACCAATCAGACTTGAAAAGAGATGGCAAAGTTAGGGACCTGGTGACGGCATGGTCATGGACGTGACACTTAAAATTTTTGTTTTCCAAACCATCTTGTGCCTGTCAATATTTAATGAAAGTGCTAGATGAAAATAGCAAAAAAATTTCCACACAACACTTCTGCATCGAAGTGAGAAAACTATAACAAAAGTTGAACAATTAGTATAAAACAGAAACTCATTATGCATGACAAGATGTTACTTGACTTTTCCAAATACTAAACAATATGACCTTGTAACATATAACTTGACCTTCTGGCATTTTTTACTGACGGAAAAAGAGGCCACCAATGGAGTTAACTATGGGTACACACGGATTACTTTTTTATAAAAATGTTTTTTAATTCAGAAGAAAGTGTGGGAGTACTTTCTTTTGTCATATTTTTCCACTTCAACCCTCCTCTGAAACACCAGGAAATGTTCAATAAGCAGCACAGGTACTGCAAGAACAAAACTGATTACAGAACAACAGAGTGCCAATCCTATGGATAAACATAAACATGGTCATCAGAATAAGAAAAGAGCTCGTTTAGGCTGCGTTCCAGCATGTTGCTCTTGCTAACACTCGTCCAGTCTTGACTGCATGACGAGTGTGGCTCACTGGTAAGCAAGCTATGGTTATTTCAAGACGGCAGGTAACCATTCATAGTTTACGCAAGTAATGCATGCAAATGCAGCCTTAATCTTCCACCATCAGACCATTACTGGCAAGTAGGAGTGACGGCCATTTGTCAACCGCTAGTCAAGTTTCACTGATAACCTGTGCCAAAAACTATGTCCTGGCTACCAGACAAAAATTGACAACAACATGTAGCTGACAAATGGTAGCACTCAAACTTGTCCTTAATACACATCCTCCGCACACTACCTCTGCGGTAAGACTGATTGGTATGCTATTGGCATTGCCCATCCCAAGCATTGTCAGTGAAGGCATGCGGGTGTGGCATGGGGGTGTGGCACTGCTGAATGCACCCCTGCACAGCAGGTCCCTCGATTTCCATCCATAGCTGCAAGCTTCAGGGGCATGCACTTTTGCAAGTTATTTCTTCAGCCCCGGATGGAATTTTGCATAGCAATAACATTTAGGCTAGCACTTTTTATGTTTATGGTACACGCACAAGAGGAGGCATGCTGTTACATTAACATGGCAAGGAATCTGGTGGGAACTCGTGCAGATTCAAGTATTTGGGGCACAGGGCGAACTGTGACACGCACAATCAGTTTCTGTTGAAATGTCCAGTCTTTGACACGCACACCAAGCACTGGTGGGAGCCCAGTTGAAAACTTCTCACCAGCATGTCTCTTCTTTACCAGCTAGGGGGTGCTTCAAGGTAAAGAGCCCCGTTTCCTTCAGAATGGCTACAGACCACACAACCCCTTGAAAGAAGAAGCCTAATGCCAAGAAATCTGAAGAAAATAAATATTTCAGTTGGATTTTCGAAAATCTTGCGGCCTGATCTGCGGCAGTGAGCAGGCTCACACTACTGACAGTTGCCCTCTACATTCTGCTGTAGTATGAGATCCATGTAGGCCCCTGAGATCAGGTCGCTGGACTGGATGCCCAGCTGCTCCATCAGTTCATCAGCTATCTTGGTCCCGTCGGCTGATGTCTGTTGCGGTTGCATCATCACCTGAAAAAGGGAGTAAGTTGCAAAAAAAGTAAAGCCACCAGAAGGGAGCATGTTCTCATGTGGAAATATGGTGACTAGCCGACGACCCAATCATGTGGTGGAGTGGTGCAATTTAGCACGTTTCCAGCATCATTTGTTCAATTAAAAGCAAGCATTTTAACCACTTCCTGCCGGGGATTCCAGATCCGGACATGTATGCTTTATATGCGTGGCCGGGGTCTCTGAACTCGGACAAAGGGAACAGGGCCTTGTAACAAAAAACCGTACTCAGAACAAAAGACCAGGCTGCTGGGCATTACCAACATTTTTTCACTCTCAATAGTGGAGATATTCCAGCCTTGCTTTGAAACAGTATACCACAGTTTGGGACATTTAGAGCGAGGGGATTACCACCGGGGGAAAAAAGCACTCTACCACTGCAGTGATGAGCCACACAGCACCACTGCATGCTAATCTGGCCCCTATTGAAAAGAGGTTAGCAGCACAATGAGCCAGGTTCGTAAACAAAAGAAAGTTATATAACACTGCATAATCTGGCTCTTTTTACAAGGCTGCAGGCCTGGCTGAAATACTCAGGCGTCAATAGATTTTGTCTGTCAGGCTAGAGGGGCCACCAGACAATCCTTCACGTGTTTGTAAGTGTCCAGTAAATGAAGATAGGAATAATAAAAGAATTTTGAAAACAGAAAAAAGGATAAATATCCCGGCTCAGCATCATCAACATTGATAACTGCCCCGGCAGGAAGTGGTTAAAAGAGTTTGGTAGGCATTTATTTGTGGTTCTTTGTGGAAAGTTTTCTTTACTTTTGAAGCCACTTAGTGTGAAATTTTGCAAGTTCCATTTAATGCAGTAATTTCCGTTTCAAAGTGTTGATTCTGTGAATTCTGTCTGTTTTCCGCGATCACGGAAAATCACTGGCTACATTTAAATAATGAACCTGAAAAAGGCTAGTTTGTTGAATAATGTTCAGTCTGCTGGTGAAAATTCCTGATGCAAGTACAAAATAAGTTCACTTGCCCGGCGGGCTAGTCTACCGAAAGCTTAAGGTCGAGGTCTGCAGGCTGGACTTTCTGAGAACATCAGTAATGTTTCAACTGAATGAACACCATTAGGCCACACATAATTCTCAGTCACACCTAACAGTGCACTACTGGGGCTTGTCATCTGTGGCATTACTTTGTGACAGCTAGTCTCAACTTGTGTAATAGAGCGATGATGTCTTCTGAGGACAGTATTGTAGTCAAGTCTTTTTCTGAATCTTAAGTAAGATTTGCAGCTTTGCATGGTGGAAGAGACATGAGAAATAGGTGTGCTCTGGCCGTCCTCAGGATGGCCAGAGCACACTGGCTGAAACGTCGAGTTAACACTCACCGCTTCTTTTAAGAACCACACCTCGCCAAAAAGAGATTGATTCCATGGTGTACCCGCAAACCTATTTCTCATTTCTGAATCTTGCAGTATAGCAAGTTGTAACACCCGTCTTGAATACAGTATTTTTACTGGTCCACACTGATCATTTGACCAATCAATAAAAATGCATATTTCCCTCATCCCAGTGTATATCATATAAAGATATTGACTGGTCCCTAACCTATAATCCAAACCGTAATGCAAAGACTGCTAAGCAGATAACTACATTCATTATTACTTGTGCTACTCTTACCTGCACACTTAATACATGTAATTAACTGGCTGCTATTATGTGGGATATGATGGTTTAACACTCAAGAGACAGCACAGCCTCCTTGAAGGTGTTGACAAAAAATAAAGTATTCTGCCAACACCTTATATTCTACAGAAATTCACACTCAATCTTATGATCCAAAGCACGAGTATGCCAACATATTGTACAGTTGTTCACTCGTTATTTCTACATTTTGGTGTTCTCAAATTCATTAAACACAAATACATCAGCATGTCATATGTTAAATTCGAACTCTGAAGGGCTGGTCATTTTTAAAGAACTTTCTATTGAAAAAAAAGGGGGCAAAGGCAATATACCTCCCGTCCCATCCCACTTTCTCCTGGGGTTTGAACCCCATTGATAAAACAGAATGCTGGCTCAAACCTCAAGTTCCATGAAGCTTCCCAGACCTTCCACCTCATCAATATGCACCCTGGTCTGTCCAACCATGATCAACGTTCTTGTCTTCTTCACGATTCCTTTAACGCCCAGGGCCAGGCTCAGTGTTGTCTGCAGGAAAGGAAATATTCCAAATCCCACTTAAAAGATTCCAATCCTTCAACACAATGCACATGAATACTTCAAGCTGGGATCTGGAACCAAGTTACATAAGGGGCTCAATTTTTAAAACGTTTACAAAAATTTCCCCGTACTGTTTAAACGTTTTAATGCCTTCTACCTCAAAATGCATGATGATACACAGGTAGTTCAACAATGCACTTGGTCCAACCAATGTAAAAATTCAGAGTGGTGTTGGGATATTGTGACCAAGCAATGTTTATTGTTTAAGAATCCATTTTTTTCCTCAAAAAGTACATGGATGCTACAAAGAAAAAACAACAGTATGTGACAGGCAACGTTTACAATGAAAATGAACGTCTAATTGCATCAATCAAAACGTAAAGCCCGTGAAGGGGCTGATTCCGTTTAACGTACGGGAAAATCTGTAAACGGATTTGGGACTTTTCTTCATTTACAAGCTACTCATGGTGACAGACAACTAAGGTGGAAAGCTTCCGGTAGCACCATGCAAGGATAAGATCTCTTTGTGAGTCTGCATGGTTATGAGTGGTTGTGAGTCTGTATGGTTCTGAGTGGTTGTGAGTCTGTATGGTTCTTTTCAGAACCATACAGACTCACCAAGAGATCGTATCCTTGCATGGTGCTACCGCAAGCTTTCCCCCTTAGTTTTCTTCATTTAAACGTGTAAACGTCTCACCCTTACATGGGACATTTTTTGGGGGGGGGAAGGGCACATCGTTGCCATTTTTTTTTTCCTTGGTGATGGGTCTTGGGTGGTGTGACTTTTGGGGGATGGTGTTTTAAGACTTTTTAGTGAAACATTCCGAAATAAATTCTCTCTTTATTTTCAAGACCAAAAATTTGTTCTGCCCTTTTTGTAGGAGGGGGATTGACCTCCAATTGTCACTGGCTACATAACGAAATGTCGCTTGATTGTATTCTCTCCTCGTGCTCAACAAGATTTATTTTTCCAACCTTCCATGAGATCAACATGCCATGTTTTAATTTTCAAAAAAATGAAGAAACTATGACTTCAGCTACTAAGTTCCAAAAGCACGACATCACTGTGACCAAGTTATGTAGTGCAAACAAATGGAATATGCCTGCGTCTTGGTTCACACGCTGGTTCCCTCACTACTGTCTTTCACACTCATACCGGTAATTGTGCGTGTGACATGTCTACTTCAGTATTCGACAGCCCCAGAAGTGGCATCCCTTTCTACTCCTGCTTTCATGTTCTTGTTCAATCTCGCACTGAGCATGAATGTGCTTAAGTGTCTAATAGCAAGACTAGGGTGTCTGCTCGATCACTCTCTTACCTTCAGTTGTTCTGGGTGGTGCAACTCAGCGAGGGAGAATTTGGAAAGCTTGGGTCCCGTGGTGTCTGGTCTGTCATAGAAGACTAACTGAGACAGTTTTGTTGGATCCTCCTGCACATCACCAACACAAGGGAAGACGACACTGTAAATTGACAACTGGGACAAGCAATGGGCCCCACGGCGAAATGCACCCTCAGCAGTAAGGAAGTGGGAAATTTTTCAACCGGGCTTCGGCATACAGCTGGCTCAGAAACAAAGACCATTATGCTTCCTGTTACCTGGCCTATTTTGTAACGACTGCACAGCCCTAAAGGAGTTCTGATAGAAAACGTTTTGAAAAAATGAAATTGGAAGTAAAAACTGAGAAAAATGATTCTTCTATGGTCCGAGTGTGGTGCAAAAAAAGTTCCACAGACTTATTTCTGCACACAACCTATACCCTTTGCCAGTGTTGTAGTCCAGTCACCAATGTCGAGTCCGAGTCCCGAATCTCAAGCCTCGAGTCTGAGTCCAAATGTCGAGTCACAAACCTTGAGTCCGAGTCTGAGTCACGAGTCACAAACCGAGCCACAAGTCATGGATCAAGTTTTTCAACCAATTATTAACATGTTTTAACGTGTTTGTCAAGTCTCAACCACTCCACAACTTGTTCTTCATGTGTATTGGCGTGGGGACTGTAACTGGATTGAGACCAGAGAGTGATTTCTGTTTTGAACTAAACTTACGTGTAAGTTCATTTTAATGTCAGAATTGACAGGTAAATTTGTTGTCCATGTGTGACTGCAAAAGGGAATAACAGCTTTGCAAGAACAGAAATTGCTCTACTAGTTCATTCAAACTACAACCAGCATGCTCAGTCACAAGCACACAGGTATCTTTTGGTTGTTGGAACAGTTGCAGCAATCTACACCTATGAGGGAAATAGGACAAAAGAGCTGGGCCTTGTAACAAAAGACCGTACTTGGAACAAAAGACCGAGCTGCTGGGAATTGCAAACATTTTTCAGCACAGAGTGCTGGCATTAGCGAAGGTAATCCGTCATTGTTTTGAAACAGTATTTCACTGTTTGTGGCATTCAGCAGCCGCAGATTATCAGTGGGGACAAAAGTGTTCCAGCTCTCCAGTGATGAGTGATACAGTACCACTGCACGCTAATCTGGCCGCATTTTAAAAGACACCACTGCCATTTAGCAACCCACTGGGCCAATTTCGGGAACAAAGGAAATTATGCAACACCACACAATTGTGGGATCTCTTCACTGGGCGGCAGGCCTGGCTGCAATACCCGGGCATCGATGCAGGTTGCCTGTCAGGTTAGAGTAGCCACCAGACACTCATTAATGTGGGTGTAAGCATCCACTAAATGAAGTTATGTATTTGTGAAGAATTTGGAACACGGAAAATCTTGAAAGCACATGGAAATTTTCCCACATACAACCCTGTATGCAAATTCCACCCGGCAGGAAGTGGTTTTAAATGGAGTGCGTGCCTAGCCAGATGGTTATAGAGCTGGCTTTTAGAGCACATGGTCATGAGATCATAGCCCTACCAGGCCATGCTGGCAAGTTGCAATTTTTCTTTGAAAAAATCCCAATATCTATCTTTAATGTTTGAAAACAAATCCAAGTGAAATTGCAGGATTTTCACTTTTCTTTGCCCAAGATCACAATATGCTGCCACCAGCTGGATTCAAACACCCCACCCTATTATGAACAGGGTCCAACTCGACCCTAACCACTTAGCCACATGCCCACAATGTAGGCAAAGGAACAAAACAAAGATGTGTCATGGGTTAAAGTTTGCCAAATTACTCCCTGCACATGCCCTTCTGGCAAAAAACACAACTTAGTACCTACCCCCCCGAACTGTGGGGTTCATTGTTCGTAGGAGTGTGGTGGACAATGACCTCCACAGTTCTGCAGGTAAGTGGTACCAGTTCTCAGTCAAATCCGCTGTTTTGAAAACGAAATGGTGACAAAATATACTGATACCTTGAACTCTCTGAGTTTTAGCCTGCCATTGGGGCAATGGAAGAAAGTGTCTTCTTGGTGAAGTACTTCTGCTGCACTGCCATTGCTGAGCTCCTGAGCCTTCTTCCTCACAAATTTAGGCTCTCTGAGGTGGGCTTTGATTTCAATATTGGACGGCATTTTGGAATGTACACACTGCACTAACTGCAGAGTTTCAGTTAAAAACCAAACAAAACACAGATTAGTAAGTTGACATGCGTCATTTACTCACCATGCCCACTGGCACTCAAATTGAGTCACCAAATATCGTGACTCCAGTCAGACTCGAGTCAAGTCATTGTCTCAAGTCATTTCAACTCTGAGGCTGAGTCCAGTGTACATGTACACATACAAAGGCCTTCTTGTAGCACAACAAACAGTGAGAAGTAAGGTTGGGAATGTGCATTCAATTTGACAAACATTTACAACCACTTTCCCTTGGGCCTACTGTTTAAACGAGCCTGCATCTATTTGGCCAACAAACACTGGCTTGGTCTTTGCATACATACAGTTTTATACTGAGGTAGTTCACCAACAATGCACATATCATAACATACATGATTGACAGTGTGAGGGGGTACCCCAATTTAAGAATTAAGCAATTTTTCTAGTTTACATTCAGTCTCCCCCCCCCCAAAAAAAGTAGATGGATGGGGGTATGAAAAGAGAACAATACGCTTGCTAGATTCATGGAAATTTCTTCTTCTTCTAAAGATTCAAATTTGCATTCAAATGATAGGCCTCCCACCTCAAGGCTCCATAAGTGACTAGAATGGAAGTTATGATAAAACATGTGTATGTTACTATTCATATATGCACCAAAGTACTGTATGCACATTAAACATGCATACATGTAAATACTTGTGACTTTAGGCATCTTTAGACAGTTTACAAGAATAGCCTAAATTTAGAAATAACATACAATTTCAAACACCTGTATCTCATGTACAATGCGGAACTGGAATCTGTGGGAAGGGGAGGGAACCAGAATTTCTCAAGGTAGGGGCCTTTTGCTTTCCTGACCCCATCCAAATGAAAGCTGAGCTGTTATGAGTCACTGGAATGGAAGCAAATTGGACCAATCACAGTGCAGTTTTCATCTGTGGGTGACAGGAAAATAAATGGAAAAGACAGGAGCCATGTTGCGATTGGTCAAGCTAACACAGCTGACAGTTATTGAGAGTTCATGCTGCTAATTTTCCTGTAGTGTGGATGGCCATAATGCTCAAGAACTGCACCATTTCAATGAGGATATAAGGTGAATAAACCTCCCCATCTGACATTTAACTTCACCAAGAAGGCATGCATGTATGAACCAGAATTTCTCCCAACCATGCCAACCTAGGGAGGGGGGGCTCTTGGTCATGTCAGTCCCCCCCTCCCCCAGTGGATTTGAACTGATAATGGCATTGATAATGTGCAAGGTAACAAGTGTAACACATGTAAGTAATATTAACCACCCATAATATGACATGTTTCAGTTTCCTTGCAAATCTAGTAGGCTACTAGGCCTTTAGGCCTAAAATCAAACATGCGCAGGTAAGATGAAAAAATACAATCAAGGTAGGGGCCTACGTGTAAGGATATTTAGTCATACTTTTCTGAAATTAAGATTTCTGTGAACGTGTGAACGTCACCATGTCATTCAGTGGGTCAAATAAATATTTTTGGCAAAAAGTTTTACCAGGCTACATACAGCGGATTAACCATTGGCGTTAACTCTGGTGATAAAAACGTTTGGGCATAACAGTAAGGGACTAACAATGACTGATTAGCCCTCAGGTTTAGGTTCACTTTATTTTCCACATAAGAGTGGAGGGGAGTCCCTAAAAAGCAATGCTTGTCAAGTAGGGACCCCTACTTACATAACTACACATACAAATACCACATTCACATAGACATTACATTAGCATACATACATGTATGCATACTACATACAATTATTAGAAATATAAAAAAGACACAAATACGACCTGTAACCTGTAACCCTGTAAGAATTACTCTTTCCATATAATCATTCAATAAATACATCTTGTATTTCAGTTTGAACAATGATGGATTGGTTATATTTTTAATGATGGATCTAGCGACTTCCACAAATTGGGACCCTCAAGCCTTACTGTTTTAATTGCAAGTTTGGCGCGTACAGAGGAACGATGAAATACGCTGTCTCGTAAAATGACAATGATGGATTTCATCATGTTTATGAACAATGAACTTATAATTTACACTGGTACATTGGTATTAGGAGTCATCTATTTTGGTCATCATCAGCGTACTCCTCTTCCTGGCCCCCCTCCTCCCCTCTAAGAGAGTACAAAATGAATGAACAAAAACTAATGATTTCTCTGTGGTGCCTAACGACCCTTTCTTATTTACAATGTACGGCTGTTAAAGGGCAGTAGACGACCAGAGAATAGTGGCAGGAGGCAAACCCCTATCCATGACAGGTCTCGACACTCCCGGTTTTCTGATTGCCTGGGACAAATTTCTTTTTCAGTTCGGGCAGGTAATGATTAAGGACAAACTGCCCGATGGACAGGTACTTTTTTCTTAAAATAAAAGTGTCCATTTTTGTGCCCAAGAATAGCAGTCAGAAAATCTACCTTTGATTTGATTTGTTCTCTTCACAAAAGCTTATAAAAGTGGTACAACGTATGCAGTTACAATGATTTTTATTTTTTGCATCGTTACGTACATGTACATGACTTGTACAAACTTGCGTGCATTTAGCAGGATGCCTTTCCACACAAGGGAAAAGGCGTACATAAATAAACTGTAAACTACACTTACCAAACCAAATAGCATGTACGGCACACGTAGCAGAGCTTTGTTTGGGGAGTGCTCGAAGACTGTTTCACATGTGGCTGTGACTTAAATGTTTATGAATTTTGCCTGGTACTTGTGTATGTACTTTTTACTTACTTTTTATATATATGACACCAGTCAAAATTGTCGAGTGGTTAAGAAACAGCCATTGCCCGAACTTCTTGTATGAACGATGCATTAGACTCAGAGTCCTGTGCACTCTCTGCACACACGCAATAGTTGGGGGTGATAGTTAGCCGGTCTACACTGGTCTATGATAATCGTCATTTTTAACATATTTCTAAAAGCGTACGCAACCAATTCACTCCCTNCCCCCCAGCGCATGCTTTGTACTCTCATGAAAATGATGACAAAAATGGATGATCCCTTATTTAGGGCATGGAGGGAGGAGGGGAGGGCCTAGCCTACTTGGCACATAAGGAAGGGTTCCGAGCTGGGAATAACAGTGAATAATAAATAGGCCTATTGCTGGCCTTCAATGTTTCATACTGATGAAAAAGAGGACTGCTATATTCTTGAAAAAAAGGTAGAGTTAATGATGTGCGAAGACGTTTTTGAAGTTTGAGTGTGTTCTCTCTACGTGTATTTGGCTAGTGCCAAAGCTGCCCCAAGCAAGTATAGACCTACATAGTACATGTAATGATGTAGGCCGATCATGGCAAAATCAGAGTGGGCCCAACAAAGTTGATAAAAAGTTATTAATTGACATGCCTGACCAAGTAAAGCTGAAACACGCTAAAGTTTTGTGAAACTCAGAAAAAGCAGACGTTTGACGGTGAAATGTTTCGAAATACTTACGAATTTTTTCAGATAAAGGAGGCCGGAATGACACTGCACTCTAGTCCGAGAATTACGCCACACAAACATGACCAAGTTAAACACGTGATGAGTGCGCCAAAATTCATCAATCACCGTGGTGCTGGCTATTTCTACTCTTACACACAGTGCGATTTAGGTCAGGAGGTTAGACTTCTATAAGGACTAAACTTGTAGCAGTCAATTGAAGGCCCGTGCGTTAGCGGATTCGAATGGGGCCAACTCGACCGTTTGCCAACTCCACTTGGACGAACTCGGCCGTTGAGGCAACATGAAGCCTACACTGATAAATCAGGGGAGGGAACCAGCATCTTATGGGGGCACCAGCTTTCAGTGGTGTGTTTTTTTTTTTTGGGGGGGGGGGGAGTTTTTGTTAGTTTTGTTCAATATCCATTCATCCATTTATCTCGTTTTTTTAGGGAGGCACCGGTATTTGTGGGGGCAACGTGCCCCCAGCCCCCCGCCCTTCAGGCTAGGCCCCTGGCAATATCTGCTATTTTTCCGCAATTGTGAAAGCCCAAATGGTAACATGTTCGTAAAACTGGAGTTAGTCATATAAAGATAAAAATAAACTTAAAATTTCTATCAGTAAATCATGGAGGAATAAAACAAAATAATATGTATTAATTAAAAAGAGATTTAAAAACCTTTAAAGATTTGGCATGTCGCTGAGCTGAAGTTAATGTGTTCCATCCATGGGTCCCACAATACTGAAACGTATATCTAGCGGCATTTGTCCTAGTTCGGAGTCGATCTCTAGCTCTGAATTTCTATATAGAGTCACGTATATGCCCAAATCCAAAGCTGGGCCAAAGGCTGATCCAATCAAATTTCACAGTGATTCGACATTGGTTCACTGACACCAGAACCGGCCTAATGGATTGGGCGAACTAGCTTTGGGATCATTGATCGAGATCCAGCCTGTGTGGAACAAAATAGGCCACAAGTGTCCTCGCATAAGTTTGAGGGTTGGGAGCTTCTGTTTGTGGCAGGTCCAATTTTCAGTTGTTATTTTATGTATTCTTTGTTGTTTAGAAGATAGGAGTAGTGCCCCTTAGTGAGGAAAACCCCATTCATTTCAGTCTCAGTTAGATATCCCCCCTTTCTTGGTAGTGTGTCCCCCTGTTTGTTTACTTTAGCCCAAGGGGTCCCCTATAAAGTTGCCTCCTGGTCAAGGTAGTTCAGGGGGAGCGGGTTAGCGTAGCGGTTCTTCCTCGCCTTGCACCAATGAGGCCCGGGTTCGAGTCCCGGCTTGGCCCAGGCTTTAAGTGCATTTGGTTTCCAGTCCATAGTCGCTCTCGCAGGTTTTCCCCGGGTACTCCGGTTTCCTCCTGCCTCTAAAACTGGACCTTCTTGCTAACTCCGTAATGTGATGCTGATTAATAAAGTCTATGAATAAACGTACAGTTATTGGCGCAAATAGCCTGAGATGCTGAAAGCACCATTAAAACAAAAACAACAAGGCAGTTCAGTTCAGTAGACCAGCAGTGAAGTGTGTACATGTCTCTGTACATATACATGTGTTCATATTCCACCCTCTCAACTAGAGTGGTGCGCTCTGCTTGTGTTTAGTCTGCTCAAGTCATCATTTCTTGTTGGAGTGTACTTGAAAAAGGCCACTTATATGCATACTGATTTGGGTTTTGGTTTTTTTTTTAGTTCTTTTGGTTTTAGTCTTTTGAAAGTTTTAGTCTTCGGGAGTTTTTTTTAGTCCTTTAGTTCTTTTGGTTTTTGGATTGTTTCAGTTCTTTTTCATTAATAAATTCTTTTTGTCCTTTTTTTTAAAGTCTAATATTGGTGTCTGAGTCCTTATTAATCCAGTTTCCTGCGACTTTTCCCTCAAAGATCCTTGGTTTAGTTAGAGGTTTGTTTTTTTTTTTGTTGTTTTTTGCGAGTTCCCCATAGTGTGCCATTTTCCCCAGTTACACGTTATTGTGAACTTGCGCATTAGACCTGTCAAACTTTGAGGCGCAACTTGTGCAAATGGTGCACTGTAGCAATTCTCCACCAGGCGGAGGCACTCCAAAAATACCCCTACGGGGTTTATGTGGACCAAGAAATTGTGGGATTATGTATGACCCAGGATCAACTCTCTAGATTAAGGGTCTCCCATCTGAGGGCAAATCAGAGAAAAATGCTCCCGGAAAGTTGTTCCAAGGGCCTCTGAAAGTAGAGGGGTGTCACTTGAAAAATGGTGGCCGGCGGACTGGGGAACCTTGACTTTGTTTGGGGGGTGAGTTTGTTTGGAGCGGATAATTAAAAATTTAACTGGTTAACCTACTAATATTTGAAAATCAAATGAAAACTGCAGGACCAAACAACACTTTGTTTTTTGTTTGGGACTTTGTCTTCGTCTGTCAAGGAACTTTCTAAACTCATAAGTGATGGAAATGGTTATGCTGCTAATTGGAAGAAACGAAGCAGGACATCAAACCTTTAGTTTAGCTGGTTAGTTTAGTCTGTTTAGCTGTGAACTATAGGCAGAAAGTGGAAACGTTTAGCAGGGGTGGATCCAAGTGGCCATTTTTTCTTTTAAAAAGTAATGAAAGACAAAAGATCAACTGATCAATCTGTTATGTTTGCCTTTCTCCAAAAGTGTGTAAAGCCTTATTTCTCAGGAAGGTCATAAAAAGATGCATGAACAAAAATACCAAATTGTCATCCCAACCCTCCTAAAAGTCCCCCCACCCCGAAAATTTGGTTCTGGATCCGCCGGCCGTTGATGTTACTTTTTGCATTTGGCTATGAAAAAGAGCGACTTGTTCACAAAATGCTTTTTATTCAGGCATAACAACACAAAAAATTAATGCTTTTCTTTTTCTGCACTGGAAAGTAGAGTTTCTTTTGGTGACATATTGAACTGACTCGTCTTTTTCAGTGGAATTTGTAATCGCCACTAAACTCAAACTCCATGCATACACGTCTTTCGTAGATAAATCAAACTAACCTGCAAGTGCTGAATGAGGGCGCTGTGCTGAGAATGGCTTCCAACCGTCGAATGATCTCTGTGCTCAGGTCTAGGGCATTTGATAGTATAAAATTGATGCACGAAATGGGACGAAAGAAATCAGGGCTGGCAGTTTGTAGCAGGGCTACCTGCTATAAACTTCACGTATGCGCATTAATGACTAGAATTTCCCAGTGAGTTAGCGTGCACAAGTCAATGGTGTAGCACTTTTTTGCTACAGATTTTCACCCTTGACTTTCCCTTCCCAGCTTGCTTGTAGCACAGTGTAGCAGTGAGTTTGTGCACAAGTCAATAGTGTAGCGCTTTTTGCTACAGACTGACATTCCCAGGGTTATCTGCTTCCGTTCGTGTTTGCTTGTGCGTCCAGTCGGCGGCAAGGGTTTGGTCTAGTTCTTGTGTACCATTATAACCACTGCGTATCTAAGTCCAAGCCTATGAAAGTACCTGAAATTTCATAGGCCTGTACTGTAGCATGTAGCACTGCTACACGACATGCCTGAGAGATTAGTTCGTCTCGTGCCATGTCTGGTATACTCTAGGGCCGGGTGCAGACAACTAATTCTAGTCAGAGTTTCTGGCCAGCTCATTAGCATTAAAAGTGCCCCCTCACAGTATCTTTTGAAAAAGGAGATTGTTTAGCTCCCAAAATTGTGAGATTGTGTAAATCCTTGCCAGGATCAACTCCTGGGTCTTTGAGCTTTCATATGAGAGCAGAAGGGCTAGAAACTACATTGAAGAATGGTCTTAAGTGCCCAGAAAGTTGAGGGTTGTCATTTGAAAAATGGCTGCAACCAGACTTCGAAAAAATCACTTTTTGGGGGGTGATTTTGTTTTGTGGCAATAATTGAAAATGTAAGTGAAAGATAGTGACCAGACAAGAATTTCATTTGTGTTTCAGAAATCTCAGGGATGTTGGCGTGCATGTTATTGGGCCCTGAACAGTGCTGATTTTACACTGTTTTCAATGGGGCTTGAATTAGTGGACTGAATAAGGGCAGCCTTTGGCTGAAGAAACCCCAAGATAGCAATAAAACTAAGCACTCGATTCTGAATATAGCCGTCCGCCACAGTTTTTTTTTTAATAGTGATTTTTATTAAAATTTGTTTATAAATCATATTTATTCTGTTAGTTTAGTTCTTTAATACTTTCTCAATTTATTTTAGAAAACTTCTTCTTCATACGTTTCTTGATGTTTAATATTTATTTCTGTGAACTATGTTTTGTTATCGGCTCCAGTGTTAATTTTACATTTGGATTAATTTTGACTCTTTTGGCCGCCCATAACTGTACCCCTAGGGTCACAATACAGTCTAGTCGAGGCCGACATTTTTGTGGTTAGCAGAGTCCGTGTACTTTCAGGGCTGCAGCGCTAGCCTCCACTGTGTTCAAAAGTACTGCCGTGGAAGAAGAGCCAGCTGGGGGTTTTTTGTATACCTTCTCGCCATAAATCTTCAATGTTTTGGTAACTTTTGCATGTTCAATTTGTATAACTTTAACCACAAGATTTGGGATTGCCTGTAAATCGCATAGCCGCCTAGTAGACCATCAAGAAAAAAATATTCTACATATGTAAATGCAGACGGCAGTTTTTTGCATGTAGGCCTACACTTAGCTGGATTCATTTTCATTTCATGTTTGACATCACTGTTTTTCATCTGTTTGCACGAATCACAGATCGATACTGAGTTGTCCATTTCTTTCGGGGGGAGTTAAAATTGATGACAGGAAATGGATTGGAAGTTGGTGAACATTATAGGCTATGAGAGCATCCAATAAGTTCCGTCACGGTCCACCGCCCGAATACCGTTGAAACGGTTGCCATGAAGTTTCAGTATTGCTAAAACTTCATTATTTAAGATTTTTCCCTTCGGAAATTATTAAAAAGGTGCATAATGATCGGGACTTTTTAATTCCGATGAAAAATATTGCAGTACGCCAACTTGTTCAAATAGCCCCATGACCTTTTTGGTCATTCATGGGTTCCTTACCACACTATTTTAAGTGCAAATTTCCTTTATTTGTTTACCAGGCACAATTAAGCAACTTTTAGTGTATAGCGCCCTCACTAGTCGAGATTATGAAAGGCCACTCTTGCAAAGACACCCCATTGACTAATAGTAAAGATATCCAATAAGGAGGATATTACTGAAGTTGTTTGGGTAAAAATCAGGGGAAAAAGTTCCATACACAAAATTTATTTTACACCCTTTGTACAAAACCCTCCGAGACTGGTCTGAAAAATTGTGTTTTCAATGAAAGATCTTATACCGGTACTCTGTCGCTACTAAAATGAACTTTCTTGACCTCTAACTGATTTCTGGTAACTAATTGATGCCCTCCCGCCCCAATCCAATGTTACATTAACGTTTGAGGGGGGATTGGGGGTGGTTGAAGGGAGGAAGGGGGAGGAGTGTGGCGGGAACCTGCATTGCGTTAAAGGCTGGTGCGCGCCCAAGGCGATCCATTGTAACAATGGAATGGGGGGGATTGGGTGTGGTTGGGGAGGTGCAATCTAAACTACCCGAGTCTACTTTAATGCACACTGTGAAATGTTTCAAAGCATGGCATTAGACACATTGGTTTCTTGCAATTCTTACAAATCATACGAGTCTGTTTACGTTGGCTTCTCGTACTGCAAACAACACAGTTTCGTTTTTGACCTTGCTAACTTCTTCCGGGATAATGTCCACTTGAAAGGAGTGCAGTTTCAGGGACATGTGTTGAGTTGCTCGTCCTGCAGGCGGACAACAGTTCATCGATGACCTGGACCCGGAAATCCAAGCTAGTGAGCGGACGCTGTGGGGATGCTGTTGTACACGATGGTAGCACTAACCAAACAGATGTCAAGAACTGCAAAGAAAACGCGTTTCCACCATTTCAGGCATCTATGATGATGCGTGTAGTACTGACACATTTTGTGAATCTAAGTCACTTCCGGCCATGTACTTATTATAATCGTTGACGACGGCAGGTCTTTGGATTGTAGGACGTCCGGTGGAATTTTTTTGCAGCGAATGTCTTTAGTGTCACTTTTCCAGTCGTCAGAATTAGTCAGAACTGTTACACTTTTTTGGCGTCCTGCCAAACAACACATAGTTGCCCCGCTTCAGAGAAAAACTGGGGTGGATCATGTCGGTTCATGGGGACCTTCTTAGGCTTTGCACTATCTGGAATGCCTTGTGTGGTATAGCGCACAGTTCCACGAGCTTCAAACCAGAGCTGGGACAACTTGTGCGCAAGAACGGGGCTAGTGTACCGACTGTCCATGAAAACACTATGTCCCATGTTTTCCAGTCCTTTCAGAAGGTCGACGACAACTTGGCCTGATGCTGTAAGGTTGGGTGGATGGTTGGCTTCAGCGTACGCAACAGAGTGCGAGATGATTTGGTCTAGCTGATGGAGCCTTGGATCCAGTAAACATAGGCCTACACCTCCCAGTCACACGTGCAACCGGTTTGAGACGTGTTCAAGGAAAAACATTTCAAGCCATATTTGACCGACTTCGAAGTGGTATGTACTGTCTAAAACCGAGTCGACCATTAAACTTTATCATAGAGATTAGAGTGTCCAGTTGTAAGGCTGTGTACACAGGCCTGCCTGAAGTTCGGCTTGGGGTTGCCTGGTGGCTTCGATGTGGTGAATGATGTGGTCACCACTAATTCATCATCACTTTCTTCTGGTGAGGACGAGGAGGAAGTTTCATCCGAGGATATTTCAGAGCCACTATCTGCTAAAATTTTGTCGACGATGTCCGAAGCCCCGGCCATTTCGCCTCCTGTGGTTCTTGTAAGGACGTTGATGGCATTTTGGCCTGCGTGCTAAAGAGGAACGTTGGTAACGTAATGACACTGAAATTGTGTGCCACAAAGGCTCGATGGTAAAGAACCCACATGCCACTTTGAGCCCAGCTGGCACTTCTGGGGCTGAAAGGGTTGGTGAATAATAAATAAAAACTTATAGGTTTTCCAAGTTTTCAAGTTCCGGGTAGAATTTTGGAATTATATGCATCCCCATGGCCTCAAGTACATTGACAAGTAACGGGCGCTTTGTATTTGGTCACAACGTCCCCTACGACGGCCACATCAATTTCTGCATGAATAAACCGATTAACGGCTTTAAATTTAATAAGCTGGTAGAAATTTTACAACGCGCTGGATCGTGGTAGATTAAAATTCATGAAATCGTGACAAGCTTCCTGTTAGTCACTGTGAATTCTTAATTGTTTTCACTTATTCTGATTCTTATATATCCATAGGCCTAGAGCCTCGTAACAACGATAATCCACGGCATGAATTTTTCAGCAAGTTGTGACTACCGCGGTGAGGGGCGAGTCCTCCAACATTCCATAATAATGCAGAACCTTGACAAACTTGTGTTCCAACCTGAAGACACGGTTTTAGACGTCGGCTGCGGATCAGGCGAAGAGACCAAAACAATAGCATCAAAGGTCAACAGTGTAACAGGTAAAACAATCACGCTTTTGGCCATAAAGGACCTTTTCACAAACATTATGCACCCACGCACATAATTGGCCATATTTCGGCAATTAAAAAGCGCGAGCTACCCACGTTTACGGTGAACTTTATGAATTATGCATAACCAGACTGTCAAGATATTGTCAACTCAAATGACATAAGGGTCGCTTTCAGTTTGTCCTGAGTAAAATTGATTTATTAATGGAAACATTGACAACAAGCTTTAAACACCGCAAGAGCCAACTTCAAATACCTTGTTCAAAACTTAATTATTTAAACTTCTACTGCCAATCTCTGAATAAACAATGGCAGTTTCTTGAGATACTGAATATCTAAAAATATATAAACTTCTTACTCGGACAATACACTTCCGCACATCTTATCTGGTGAGTATACTTTTCTAGCAATACACTTCTGCATATCTTACTTGGTTAATACACTTTCAGACAGGCTGGAGAACTTGGTTCTTTAATGACCTCGGGCGATTATGAATATCGACTATAGAAGTAGATTTACTTAGTTCTGGAAATTTAAAGGCTGGCTAATTAATTTGGGTAATATTCAATTTGGCTAACTTACTAGAAGGATAATTAAATATTACATGTCAGATACAATGCTCCTTTTTTGGGTTTTGAGTGACGATACATCCCAAGCGTTGTTGTCAGATCACGCGTCACGCGCTGCTTGGCGCACAAAAAATAAACATGGAAAACATTAAATGTTTCATGAAGAATGGCGTAGAATTGACACCCCCGTGGTGGTTTGGTAGTTGTCTGCTACCTTTGAATACTTTGCGCCCGTTTCGCAAGAAGAAATCCCCCCCTGAATAAATTAATCGCTGCGTCCCTTTACAAGTTCTGGATAAATTGTGACCAAGTAATAGAATTTGTCGCTTTACCAGCGGAATGGAACTGTCACTTATGCGGCACAGTCACGTCGTGTGTAGGAACAACGACACAGTAATCAAGTGATGTTTTTTTCTCATCAGATGTTGTATACGCTTTTCCAGGTGTCGATTCTTCGGAAGAAATGATTGCAGTTGCCCGTCAGAACAACGCGGCTTCCAATATCACATATCTCGTAGGGGATGCTCGGTGTGTAGGAGATAACCCAGATTGGAAGGAAAAGTTCGACAAGGTTGTGAGTTTTTTCGTGCTTCACTGGATCCCCTTTGCGGACCAGCTGAGAGCCCTGAGTAGCATTTTGACGTGCTTGAAGCCGGGAGGGGAGGGGTTATTCATTAACAGACAATGATTACGGTGGCTTCGACCTGGCTACTGCGGCAAACCTTTATGTGAAGAACCACGCAAAGTGGGGCCAGTTTGTAAAGGTACGGCAAGCTCCTGACATGACGCACGCAGGGAAGTGGTATTTTTCAAATTCTACTCAGTTCGACCCTTTGAACGTCTGTTTGCTTTCAAGCAACCATGAAGCAACAGTTACTGGAGTAATATTTCCTCAAATTCACAGTTCCCCCTCAACCGCCATAGATAGTCCTATGTACGCAGTGCTTCATTTTTTTAATAAGGTTCCCAAACTGTGATTGCACCGTGAGGATTATTTCTCACCCTTCAGACTTTGAAAGAAAAAATGTGGAACCTTGACATAATACGATCCTCATATTGAACAGAATGTACCAGCACTAGGCTGTATAGGCCTGGTTTGCAGCGTTTTTCTAAAGGTCGCAGTCCAAATTGAATTTGTTTAGTTAAGTTTAACGCGTCCTGTAGTCAAAATTACGATGTCCTCGCGAATTAAAAATTAAGCTTTAACAATAGCAGTTCAAAGACACAATGTCCCTCAGTTTCAGTAGTAAAGCCTTCTTTTGTTCTTACAGGGTTACGAGTGGCCTTTGTACACATGGAATCAATCCATTCCAGACACTGTTCAACTGCTTAAGACGTTTGGCTGTACAAGTGTAGAGTGTGACATCCAGAAGGCGAAGTTACTTATGTCCAAAGTGCAAACAAAATGTACATGTACATTTTATTAACCCTTATCTCATAGTTGCGTTGCTTGTGTCTCACAGTCTCTGCTTTATTTATTATAATTACAATGAATACACAAAAGTTTACTTGAGCGTATGTCAGAGGTAGACAGAAATACCCTCTGACGAGACGTCATTCGCACAAGATCCACAATGAAATAAAGTTTCTCAGCGCAACTTTGACATTTTAGTGTCATCATCAGTGGGGAATGCCCTGCAGCGGGGGACGGGGACAGCAGAGGGCCAATTTGGCCATGGAAACAAGTCACGAATTGGTTTGATTAGGCCTGTGTCATTGCTGGCAATATTGTCACATGCTATTCCTAGGCACTTTGGGATATGGACTGAATTAGGTCATGATGTCTCTGTGTCTCATATAAAGCTGTTCACATGTTTCTGTTTTTCTGATTCCCGAGATTTGGTTCCCATATAGGCAAACAGGCGCGGTTCGGGGGGGGGGGGGGTTTGGGGCCTCTAA